CCCCCCCCCCGGGGACAGGAGGCAGGAGCATGGAGAGAAAGATTGCAACATTTGGAGGCGGGATTACAAGATGATGTCATGCTTCAGCAGGGTGTAAGTAGAAGGGAGGGTAAGTAGAAGGGAGGGAAATGTGGGAGGGAGGGGAGGGGTTATGGGAAAAGTAAGGGATATGGGCAGAGTGCGGTGGATAGAAAAAGTCGTGGGAAGGAGGAGGGTGATACGAAGGGGGGTTCATCTACATGGGTATCTAGCACGTGGCTAACTCCATTTTGGATTCCAGGCATGTGGAGGTACGGGGATTTAATGGTCGGAATATTGGGATATAGGGAAGAGTCTCTGGTAGTTTTCGCAACACTATCAGAGCTGGGGGGCTGAATGAGACACATGGATCCAGAAATGGCATTATTACACTGCATTTCTTGAGTTTCTGGATTTGTTCCATGTATCTTTTTCAGCACAGGAGCAGAAGGTATGGGGAAAGAGGTATGAGATACTGATGAAAGCTGCAATGGCCGGTTTTTTATGTCTTTTTCACTGTAAATCAATTCTTTTCAAATTATAAGAAAAACTGGGAGATATTTTGAAGCATTTTTGTCTCCATCCTCTATTTTTAGAGTTAGAATGTTGCCAGTTTGATCCCATGCAGAGATAGAATTTACTTCTAACAAATCAAGCTGTGGAATGTTATGACATAACAATGATGTGAAACATTTCAACTTTTTTCTAGAGATCTTAACATTAATAGTACTTAAAAATTCATGCAATTTGGATTCTAAATTTGGTTGGGGTGTAGATATTGTAGATCCCATTCCTGTTATTAAAATAGTGTTTTCACAACTCGTTTTTATCTTGTTTTACTGTAAAAGCAACAAAGCAGTGCAAAGGCAGGCTTTTTTTCTATTAGCTTGCCACCTCCCCACACTGGGGTGAGATAAGCTGTCCCACGGGCGTCGCTGCCCACGCCGCATGGCTGCCCCGCAAAACATGTTACAGCCAGCTCTGCACGGAGCCTGTGGCTCGTCCCCGCACCGCGCAGGGGAGGGCTTCCACTCCACAGCCACTGATCACATGGTCCGGGGCGGGACACGTCACTGCCGCTGGCTCGGGCGCATGCCCAGCTGACTCGTGCACGCTGCTGTGCGGGCCGTGCCCAGGACCTGCTCCGCCCTGCTTTCGTGTTGCCTGCTGCGCCGGCCGGTCTGACTCATTACTCTTACGTTGCCGAGCAGTAAAAACTTTTTATTTGTGAATTGATTTTCTCTGGGCTTGAGAAAGCTACCAATCCATTCCTTGTAAACTATATTTGTTTAGCTTTTCAAGGTAGCTGACATGCCCAGGCTTGCGAAACATACACGTGTGTTTCCAGCCAGTTTTTGGGGGTCTAGCCCAAACAGGGACGCCACCTGCTATAATTTCTAAAGTCCCCTGCCTCTCTGTTACCACTGTCTGCCCAGCAGCAGCCAGGGAGACAGGGGAGATAGTTTAGCTTATCAAGGAGGAACCTAAAAACAAGGGTCTTTCCCTTTGCTGAGATGGCAGTTACAGCTTTATTTCTTGGGATCCTATGGAGTGAGGTAGCAGGAGGGAAAGAGGAAGAGGTATTGATAAGCACCCCTTTTTTAAGGCATGGGGAAAGGGGTAGGGGGAATTCACACAGCAGATAAGGGGAACTGGGGAGAAAAATATAAGGGAAAGAAACTTACAATTCTACATTTTTGGGGGTACATTCTTTTGGGTCATACCATTTTTCCTAACTGCATGACAACATTTGTGCTTTAATATCATATTATAGCCTAACATATATATGTATTATATCACTATTTCTGAGTTTCATCAACAACAGAAATGAAAGAAACTATATTAATAGAACAAAGTTTTCTAACCTTATACATATAACATTCATGATAATATTTGCGAACAGCCAATAATATAATATGCACTGATTCACACCTTTGATTTGGAGTGGTTGTTGGAGTCACCTGTTTGTGCTCCAAGATGGTGTTAGGAAAATTAATCTTTTCCCATAAGTCACCAGGCTTCTCTAAGGGCAATCCCATTTCTCTTTGAGGTTTTGGTAAGAACTGTACATGTGGATGCTTAATGAAATTACTAAGAAAAACTACCTAATAATATGCAGAGGTACTTGAACAGTGTTGCCCTCAAAGGTGCTCACAGCTGCTGTGCCTTGCTGATTCTTTATTATATTTTAGCTTTCTTTTAAATAAAAGGTCTCTCAGATTGAGAGGAATGTGAATTTAAATGGGGTGAAAGGAGAGGTGATATGGGCATGGTTGATACTGTTAATCTTTGAACTAAATCGTACGTGTCCAACCTCAGATGTATGGGCATATAAACATGTACCGGATGGTTGTGTACAACAGCTCTCAGTATGTAGGGACATTGGGAAGAGTAGGTTCTTTGTTAAAAGCATTATATTTATTTATTCTTCAGATTATCAAGTAGCTTTCTGAAAACCTGTGATGTCTCAGGCTTGCTACACAAAATACTCAACATAAAAATATGTTTCCCAGTAAATTGCATTTAGAAATCTGCCATGAAGTTCAGTTGCAAGCCTTTCAATCTGTGCTACTGTGTTAATTTTTAAACCAGAATGTTGTATAACACGAAATCATATATTTGTATAATGAATAGTCATTATAGTTGACACATGTCCTCTTGTTAAAAAATAAAAGTCTGATTGCTGTATTAAGGGAAACAAACCCAAGAATTACAGCTTCATCGTTTCTTGAGGTAGTTCCAGTTGAAATGAAGCTTTGTGCATTATTATAGGTGAAAGTAAATGGGACATCTTGATGAAAATTTAAATTCTTAAAATTCAGGAGTGATGACAGTAAACACCTTCTCTGAACTTTTTCTCCCTGTATTTCCTTATTTCACTGAAACCTGAGACTTGCTTTCTAAATCCTTACCAGAGCCACTAATGAATTCTTTCCAACCTTCTTCTCCAGTTTTAATGTGTTTTCAGATGGCAGAAATTCAAAAAGAAATAAAAAGGAAAAAGAGAAATGAGAGAGAATGCAGAAATCACAGGCTTAACTATTTACAACTTTTACATTTACCTCTTACTGCAGCTGGGTCCTGGGGGCCTGTCCAACCCCCAGCTTCTGCCAGCAGCAACCCAGATAGAAGTCCCAGGGGACGAGCTGCCATCTGGGGTTTCCAGGCAGTCTCCAGACAGGGGTAACCCTTTGGAGCACGGGCAGAGGCTTCAGGTGATCAGCTCTTTTAGAAACAATTTCTGCTCTGTGATCAGCTCTGTTCAGCCCAGCCAGCTGTGTTCAGGGGTTACCCCTGCCAACACAGACAAAGACGGGAAGATCATGTGGCGTTCCACAGAAAGTCTTTAATGCAGGCTTCAGTAAAGGGGGCCGGTGATGATCTACCACTGAACTGGGCAAAAGCTGGGATTTTTATAGGGAAGGGGAGAATTAGGTAGGGGACCAATGGTCTGAGACTGGGATAAGATGACCAATAATTAACAGGGAGATAACATGGGGTCCTGAGGCAGGAAGGGGTCCACAGCTTAGTAACCATGATTAGGCAGTTTTGTCTTATCTTAGGGGTCATATCTCCAGGGAGGATGCCTACCAGAGGACTGGCTTCCTCCACAACCTCTTTTGTATCTACTGAAACCTATTTTGTGAACTTAATTTGTTCCTTTTAAAATTGGTGTCTAACAGAAATGTTCAAAGAAGTCTCATAAGCAGAATTGGAAGTGTAGAGTAGATGCTACTAGATCTGTTTCCAAAATATAATTTATAGAAGACTTTATTCCTACTTCAGAATGTTTTTTATACAATGTAGAAAAATAAGTCTCAAATATGAAGAGGTGACTTCATCTTTCTAATTACTTGGAGACCCAGGATGCTAGGTGGGACCTAGAGTTTTTAAACATCCTCAGCAGGTGTCTTAACTGTCTCTACAAAATCTGAAGCTTCTATGCCTTTCCTAGATGGCTTTTATCTTTATTCTGCTTTTATCTTTGGGGAATATTTTCCCTTTTGCCCAACTTAATAAGCCACAATTCACTCTAGGCCTGTGAATTGCATGGGATAAGATTGCAGTAAGGTTTATTCCTTTCTTCTTTATTAGAACCTTATGTGCACCTGAAGGCTATTGCCCCCTCTCTGTTATTGCTAAAGTGATAAAGTGCTAAAGTAAGGCAAACAAGTCCAGTTTCCTCCAGTATGGCTTGAAGGACACTTTTTCTTGGCCTCTGATATTTTATGTTGTCTAAGTTTCTCCAGCTAGTCCAGGTGATTTTCTGTATTGCCAAGTATTTTGGCAGCATTATGTTTCTTTTTTAGGTATAATTTGACACTTCAGAGGATATTGGAATATAATGTGCTATTGTCCTTTCACCTTTGCATTTCCAAAAGTTTGTTTAAAAATCAAATTATTAGAGGTCAGTGAGAATCCCTAATTAAATCAGTTCAATTGTCTACCAGTGCCAGACTGGACCTGTCTCCACAGTCTCATTTCTCTTTTACCACTCCATTCTAGCAGTTTTCCTGATTTTGAGTGTAGGTGCATAAGCCACCATGCCCTTAATTGAAATAGAGAATTGATTTTTGCTTATTTGCTGTAATCAAAATCTAATATAAATATCTAGTATTCATATACTTCTACAGTGAGAAAATGCAAATTGCCCCTGGTACTTTGAACAACTGCAATTTAAAATGGTTTCATATTTTAAATATTATTCATATAATTCAGCTGTCTGTGTATGATATTAAATTGATCTAAGAAAAAACAAAAATAGCTGCAACACTGATGCCCTTTAGGCATTTACTGGGACGTCTGCAAGATCCCTCAAATCTTATTCCCTGGAATTGCAAGAAAGTATGTTCTCCCAGCCTTTTTTTAACTTTAGATTCCTCCTTAACACAATGTAGTGTTTTCTTTTTGCAACTGGTTGTGTTTGAAGGCTCTTTCACAGTCTTATTCTGTTGACTGTGTGAGAGCCTTCTGCTTCCAGTTACTGTGCATTTGTGGCTGCTCTGTATTTTAATAAAGTGACTGTTGCCTTTCTCCTGTACTTTATATCCAGTGCATTGGATTTTCTACTTTACACTAAGTAACGTGGTCTGATAGAGCAAAGAATTGTAGCTGACTTTTTCCAAACTCATCACTTGAGTACCCCAAACCATCCTGTAAATAACTTCATCAAGGAGCATTTCTTTTCCTGTCATTTGCATTTGCACATCTTTAATGTTTCTCAGATGTTCTTGTTAAAATGATCTCAAAAGGAATTTTATACTCTTAAATATCATTCAATTTCCTTCTTTCATGTCTCTCTCTGCCAGTAAATAGGTGTCTTCTTCCATGCTTCCTTTCATCTCTTGGGACAGATCTTGCATTCCTCATTTATATCTCTTTTTTCAAAGCACATTTTATTTCCTGTACAATTTTCTACAGAGACCTTTTGCCCTATGAAAATTTTGATTGGTTTACTCTTTGAAAAAACAGAAACCTGACTCCTGCTACTGTATTTATTTTTTTTGGTTAATCAGACTAGTGCTTTTAATATTTGTAAATATCTGATATGCAGGTCCTGTTCAAGCTGTATTCAGCATCCTTATTCCCACAGGCCATTTTTTTAGATAGCCATTCAATAATGACCTAAAAAATGTACAATGATCCGCCTGCTACTTCTCCCTAGATAGTCTGCATAAAAGAAGGATAATCTATTTTGAAAACACTAAAATAACACTAAACACAAAAGATAAGGTCTCAACTACTGAATATTCTCAGCCTCTCCTTAGTATGAGGAACTGCTCATGAAATATGAGAGACAGGCTACATGAGAATATTTATGGCAAATTTAACAACAGCAGGAGGTTCTAGTCACATAGGTATGGGCTGGGTAAACGTTATGGACCATGGTGTGTTGTGGGTCATGCTACAGCAGGCAAGATTACTAGAGGAAAAATTTTAAGTTCCTTCTCAGTTCCTTAAGCGAATCGTAAAAGTCCTGTAAGTAAGCCTTGATTTATTGCTGAATATTGTCTGTGCATCCCTGCATGGTTGAAGCAGGGAGAAGAAAACCAAAACTAAAGTGTTATAAATGCAACGGCAGATTAAGGATAAAAAAGATAAATTTATTATAAATTAACAAAACAGCAAAACAGCGAGGAAAAACCACAATAAAATGAACAGCGCAGCGCTGGGTGGACAGGGTCTATACGCAAGGTGTAGGTGTTCCCAAATCCACGTCCGAGGGTTCTTCGGCCTGGGTTTTTATAGGGATTTTGTGTCCCCAGGCTAGAATTCCAATCAGTTTCCATTCACCAAGTGTCCCTGATTGTCAGGTGAATGGATTTCCTGGCCTAGAAGATTGAGTTAGTAAGTGTCCGGGCAGAGTCTCCTCAAATGCAAAGTGATTCTGTATGTATGTTAACATATTTCATCACAGCAGAGTCGAGGGATCCGGGCCAGTGCCGATGGATATCTCGGAGGAGTTGTTCCCTCTTTGTCCTTCTTGATTGAGTTACTCCAGCATAGGTTTGGCGGGTGGGGTGTTCAATTTTAGCAACGACCATCTTCCTGAGACTCGTCCCTTTTGTTTCACTTGATTGTCTCCGGCAGAAGTCGGCCGGGCGTTGCCCAGGTCTGGAGGTAGACTTTCAGGCTAGCTCTTTGTCCCTATGATGGTCTTTGTCCTGTCTTTTCCTCCGAGTTGATGTGCCTGCCGGGGTTCGTTATCTGGGTGGATTTTGCAATCTGTAACTTTGGAAGAGAAATCCTGCCTCGACCTGGAGGAGGATTTCTCCTTCCATATTTTTATCATTTACAATTACATATACTTTATTTAAACCTTTTCTTTCGAATTTTTATTCATCCAATTCTTTATTACAGTCCCCCACCTAATAATTTCACCACATTAAAAATTCGTGTCTGTGTACATTTTTCAGAGGAATACAGATTTAGATAATGTCGTTTTCCTCTTTGTCTGACTCTTCTACATTTTCTGGGGATAACATATATTTGTTTTCAAATTCCCTCAACGCTTTGACTGCATTTCTATTCTCTTTCTCTTCTTCTAACTTCATGATTTTAGAAAGAAGGGCAGTATTTCCTTGTGCCTTTTCTGGGTCTATTGTGAGAGAGGCAATCTGCATTCCCTGAACGACAGAATGTATTAGTCTGATCAGACAAGGAATTAGGCAGGGTAGGAAGATGACTCCGGCAATTGAACATCCTATAAAGAACACTAGCTTTTTCCACCATGCCCCTTGTCCAAAAATTTGATCCCACCAAGAAGCTTGTAAAATTGAATTCCATTTTTGGACCGGTACATGTGCTACTTTCTTTATTTCAGCAGCTAGACCCTTTATAGTTTCTCCGAAGTCATCTATTTCCATGCAACACTCTGACTCGTTATATCTACCACACACTCCTCCCTCCTCAGCTAGCAAATAGTCGAGAGCTAGTCTATTTTGGTATACAAAAGCTCTCATCTGGGAATGCTGTTTTGCTAGGAGTTCCAGGGCTTCTGAAGTGTGATTTGAAACAACTTCTACCACAGCCTGTAACCTAATGAGCCGATTGAGGAGGTAGATTGGGGTCCTGTAACACCAACTGCCATCATTTGCCCATGTTGCCGGTCCATAATATTGTATGATCCTTTCGGCGGGCCATTCCTCCCCTTTCCATTTGTGGTTACCTCCGGCTATTGGTAGCTCCCGTTTCAATTCCCTCTTTTGTCGGGCTAGAGTTTCAAAGAGGGGAGCGCCTAAAGACCTACTTTCATCTTTAGGTAATGTAAAGAAAAAAGGCCGAATTATCCCGAGTGTGCATGATCCTTTCCAATTTTTGGGTAATTCACTGTATGCTTTCTTTCCGCATATCCAGTAAATCCCATCCGGTGCCTTCCAATCTCTGTTAAATTTTGCCGGGTCCTCCCAATATTCCCTCAGGCCGAGAAAGGCATGGAAGGGATTCGCCCCGTCCTGTTTGTTCCAGCAAAGACCAATTAAATCTACCCATTCGCAATTATTTTCCCGAGATTGGCTCCAATAGCCCTCGGGTGATTCTGGCTGCCAGATTTTTGTCTTTTTATCTGAATTTACCGAGAGAGTTTTTACACACGGGGTGTAACCAACTAGCTCGGTGAATTCTCTTCCTTCCCGACTGATGCAAAATGTTCCAATGATTCTTTTGTCAATCACCCACCCCTCTGGTCTCCGGGTTGTTTTAGATAATTTCAATCCTGTCCATTTAAGTAATTGTTCCGGGGTTAATCCTTCTCCCTTCCATGGCCATCTCTCGGCTGATTTCAGGCCACCACATATCCAACAATTGGATAATCCTAATTCAGTGGCTATTTCTTGCATCAGATCTATAAATAGATTCTGGTTGGGGCTAGGTAACTTCCAGTTATCGTATTGTTTTTCTAATTGCTCATATTGTTCACTGAGAGAGTTTAACCTCTCTTGCTCTAGCCTTTTTCTTTTATTTTCCATTTCCTGTCTTTTTAGTTCTAGAGTCAACTGTTTTATTTTATTTTCAGGATCTGAA